GAGCTATGTACGAATTGAGAATAAAAAATATCTTTGACATGTTGTTAACGGATTTTAGTGCGTACGCCCTTAAATCCCTCTGCAGAAACAAAATATGCAGCAAACGAAATTGCACTCACGTTTAACATGTTACTCCACGTAAATTGGGGAAATCGGACGCAACATTTTATTTACATTAATTATTCATTCTGACGCGACTCTGTCTCGTCGCGATCTCAATTTTACATTTAAATAATCACTCGCATTTACATTATTCGAATCAAATTATTGAATCGGGGAAAATCTCAACGAGAAATGACTCATCTTATTAATGTCGAATCAATCTCGATAATTTCGACATCGATTCGTTCAAATAACCCATTTCTCGCTGGGAAGCCGTTCAACTTTCATTAGCGTTTCGTATTCAAAAATCGCGAATGCGATAGAATTTAGTATTAACTGAGAGTAACTGTCGAAGGAGCGCCGTATAATCGATAGCACTGGCGCCGTTTCGCAAGGGTGAGAAAAGGGTGAAACGGGTCACCGTGCCTCTCCATACCATATTGCAATGTAGATCCCGGCCAGACTGAGTGCTTTTCAGTAAGAAATACAGATGATACAGTGTACATAGTAAATCATTAAATCGTCCTTGTTGTTTGCCACTGTTAAACAAAAAAAATGATAAACAAAGAAATGATGACTGTATTACACTGTGTCTTTTTCTGAAAATTGTTACAATTAACGGACTCTCAAAATTAAAAAAACGATTTAAAGTGTACATGACAAATGTAACAAGACAAATGTAACAAGACAATGATAATAATAATAGAAACAATAATATTTAAACATATGTATCATTAATATTGAGTCTAATTAACTATGCTTGATTCATTTGTTGATTTTACTATCGTTAAACATAAAATATACATTATTATTTTTAATATTGCTCTTAATTACCTGTTACCCTAATTCTCACTTTGAATCCTTCTGGCTGGAAAGCATCAACTATAAAATGCTCGCCGAAAAATGCGAGCACTAACATTCAATATGTCGTCGTGAAATCCTCGAAAAATTAGCGCGTTGATTGGTAAAGTGGATTGCAGTAAGGAAATATCTTTTTGTATACCATTCCTCTCAACGGAGAAAATGTGTAATTTTCAGATAAATTAACGATTGTTCTCAATACAGACAATTGACACAATTTATGGAACAATTGTGCGAGTGAAACCATTGCGAATCGTATCTAAAAAGGGGGATGAATAGTCCGAGATAATTGCATCTATAAAAGCTGCGAATTGATATAATGGGCCAATTATCGCGTCCAATCAGCGCTGTAAGTGGCGAATAACACGACGATTAAACTATTGACTTAGTATATTTTTAATATCCTTGTGCAACCATCGATTGTGAACGATGGCTATGTAATAAATGAAAATCAGTTAACATCCTTTTTTGCTCCTTTACAATTTATGCTTTTAATTTGTCAAACGGACAAAGCGCTGCAAATTAGCAAATTAGTAATTCCCTCTGAAAGTTTTTTCTTCTGTATTAAATATGAAATTCTTATGTTTAACGGGTTTCGAGATATAACATTGATTATATAATTAAAATATTTTACAAGAAAAAACCCGACCCTAAGCATCTCTGTGCATTTAGTTATCTATTGAAATAATTGAAAAAGTTATAAGCATATACAATAGGGAGCAAAACAATGGGTGACTTTATTTTGCCTACATAATTGTAGTCCGCATTATTCATCGAGTAACAGATTTTATATATTTTTATGAGATTTTATAATATTATATTGGAAATTTCAAAACAATTTTCATAATATAAAGTTATAGATATATTGATGTCTGTATGACAAGATATCGAATTGATACTGATTTTTTCTATAGACAAATTGGTTAATAGTGTGCTGCACAATGTAATGCTGTAATTCAGGCCTATCCAATTTTAGTTCCAGAGTCAAAATCATCGACGCAAAAAGATTCAATTATAAGTAAAATTTCGGAAATTGTAAAGTTGATAAGCGTCACATGAACGTGTATCAATACTTTACAGTTTCCGAAATCCTACCTACATTGATTTTTTTTGCGTCGATGGCTTTGACTCTGGAACTAAAATTGGACAGGTCTGCAGTTGTAATCGAAGCTCGCGATGACTCGACTAATTGTAAGTATTAATAATTTATTTTTATATTATAATTGCTTTTTTATTAATTTTTGTTAATTTCTTATTTTTATACAAATATAAAAATGTATAGTAAAATATATTTAAAAAAAATACAGATTTTATAATAATTTTTTTCACTTTATCTTTTGTTATATTTATTTTTTGTTATAATTATTTTAAATTTAATTATTTTTGTTATAATTAAATCTTCTTAATAGAATGTATGTTTCTGAGTAACACATATTCATAAACGAAACCGATATATCTTTAAATATCTAGAAAGTCAAATATGATGAAGAAGATTTAAATTGCACATTTTTTATTCGTTATAAATGTTTCCGATTAAAACAAATCTCTTCAATAGATTTATCTGAGAGAAAAATTATACATTAACATTTTTGTCTTAGAACGTTTATACTGCGAAAGGATTAACAGCTTTCCATAGAATAAGGCTGACGGAGTGTCTATGCGGATAAATGTGGTTCTTAACGGAGAAGAGTAACGAAGCTCGAAGAAGGCAATCGCGCCGGTCTTCGATGAAGGGAAAATCCAATAGAAGATAATGCAGTTTAGTTTCTGGAGGCCGATGAAAGCCGTGGCAAAGCCCTTTGCACGATAAAGGCGTCGTTAAATAAGAAAATTCAACCTAATGGAACCCGAAGACCTGACGTTTTGCTTTTAATTGCCTTTACGCGCTTGGCAAATTAACCTTCTTATGGCAAGATGAGATTCCCTCCCTTAGGACCATAAAAACTGTAATTACACTTAGCTTATAAGCTTCTTTGATGCTTTGATGCATTGCGTAAAAAAAAAAAAAAAAAAAAAAAAAAAGTTCGTGCCTTTTTACAGAAAAAGATATTTTGATCCCCAGTCGCAATCGCTTTATTCACATACATGGCAGGTAGATAAATTTTATTTCATCCGATTAAGTGAGGAAAGCCGTCGTCCGTGACGATAAACTACTGCGAAGCGCTTATCGGGAAGTTCAATCGAAACTAATGCAATTTCAACCACGAGTCCGATGGAAAAATGAGAGGCGTTTCTGCGACCGCCTTAATTCCCTCATTTTCTGCACTTCCGATAAAAAAAAAAGAAAATGAAGCAAGTTTTTGCAAGAGGAAAGTAATTATTGCCGCTCGTTAATCTCACCTCACACTCTTGCAATGCGGAAAACAATCGCGAGCAAACAATAACAAAGGAATTAAGATCTCGATGGAAAAAAGTTACTTGTGTTCGAGTTATTTTGGCCTACTTTTGTCAAGCTGCAACTTGATATTCCGTATTTTTGGCTGCGGAAGATTTACATTTATAAAAGAAGAAACAAACAAATGAAAATTTGCAATTTATTTATAATTTATAAAATTACATGCTCTAAAAAAAATTTAATATCATAGGTGTAGATATAATTATCACCGTGTAGGTGTTGATATAAATATCATAACATGGTAAAGATTTAACATTATATTGGTGTTAAATCCATCTATGACGTTAAATTTACACCTTAGTGTTTACGTCAACACGATGAATATTATATAAACACCGACATAGTGTATAATCCACTCATATTTTTTAGAGTGCATTTATTTTCAGGGGAATTATCAGGAATATATTTTGGATACTGATATCGGAGCAGTAAGGATAATCACGAGGATAGAGATTTGATAAAAAGAAACGTTTCTTTTATATATACGTAAGATTTATATACATGATATATACGTAAGTAATAGCGAGACAAGTGTCTATTGCGCGTAAAAACAATCGTCATTAGTTCTACGTATGTATCTACGTGAACGTCATCGGCACGATTAGAAACAATAGATTTTAAAATAAATCATATTTGTTAATATCACAAAGTATTGCCGTTTCTCTGCCTCTTCAGCCGATACGCACCTATTGTTTTCCTTGCACGCTCAAATGGCAATACATGGAAGATCACAACATGTCTATAAAGCGGCTAGAGCATGAAAATATATTATTTATATTTTTTGTATTTATTTCTTTTTTAGAATATGCGCATGTGTATGTATGTGGATGTGTTTGTGTTCAGAAAAATAGAGTACTTTTTCCCTCTGTTTAAACATGAAGAAATATTGATAATTTTTCTCCATCTGTCTTAAATGTTCTTTGTGAACGACTCTTAAACTATTGTCATCAGTCTATAACATTAGATAATTACCATCAGATATTATCGCAGATATGCACTCTATTCACGTCTATTAATCTCAACTTATATTTCTGCAGAGAATAAAAAAAATTTTAAACGATCAATTTTTGCTCCATGAAGAGATACAACAACAGTTAATATATTTATAACACATAATTTTTTGTAAGTCCTAACTTGCACGTATTTTAATTGCGTATGTACTTTAAATTGCGCTGAAAATTAATCGAAAAGAAATATTTTGAATATTTTATTAGTTATAGTAAAAAAAAGATTCGTCTCTTTATCTAAATTATTCAAATTATTTCTCATCAATAAGTGAAAATTAAGTATTTTGCCTTCAATTTAATATAAATTATTTTCAATATAAGTTACTTTTAATACATAATAATTTAATATGCAATAATTAATTCATATTACTTAAAGAAATTTAGACGTCAAAAATATAGTTTCAATTATTATTAGGAATTAAATATTTGAAAAACTACAAAGGATAGCAAAGAATTATCAAGTCCATTTAGAGTTACAAATAATTAATAAATATTAAAAAATCAAAAAAAATACTTCATTTTAGAATGATATGAATGTACGCTTATTGATTTATATAATATACAAATACAACCTCCTCATAATTGTCTTTTTATCTTTCAATCTATTCAGCGATCTTGTACATACACGTTATTGTTTCTCTCCATGAACCATCTATCTTACTCGCTAAGTATATAGTTTTGATCACAGATTATTTTATGGGCATTGCGACGAATTTGTTGGAAAGTTATCCGATATTTTCATATACGTCAAAATGTGGCTTATTGATACAAAAGTAGTATAAATAAAATCATTAACCAAAAATATACGTTATGCCAATGTTAATTGTAACAACTATTAATATTAAATATTAATATTCGCACTGCACCAGGTATATATCACATCTTATAGCTTAAACCGAACGCAAATCATCGTCATCAATGTGTTTTACTTCCGGAGTAATTCGCAAGTACAACTCCAATATATATAGATCTAAGTAAAATAACAGCGATATGTAAAATAATTATATAAAACGTTAATAAATGTTAAGAAACGTTAATACATAATGCATATTCTTTAAGTATTCAATAGAAGCCAATATCTATAAAAAAATTAAGGTACAGTATATCTCAGAAATTGTGCAATTTCTTTCAACTATTAAAATTAAATTAGCAATTTAAATTATAGTCTCACATTAATGTCATAAGTACTTAATTATGTCCCATTTAATTTCTTTAAAGAACATTTAAGCGTCCTTTAATTAATGCTTATTAATTAAAGTGCTTCTTTAATTAATAGGTAAAACAAAAATCAAATAGAAAAGCTAAAGAATGCTAATTTTTAGCTTTTAATTAAACATTTGTTGTAACCTTTACACACAAAATTCATTAAAAAGTTTATAACGAAGAAAAAATGCGCGTTGTTTAGGACACTCAATATATGTGACATAATTCTCATAAAAAAAGGATTGACTTTGGAAGACGTCCATTCCTGTGTTCGACGTCGGAATATAAATGGCCAAGAAACAACATGTAATTGCATGTTCAAGGTAGTTTCGATAAACACTTAGACAGTTGTTACATCGGTTACCTCAATTCTAGAAATCGGTTTCGCAGGTTCTACGTATATAAATCCCTCTTCATCGTTCACGGACTCACCGATTCGGAGCTGCTGTAAATTCGCCACGATCGAATCTACCTGAACTGGCTGATCTGGCGGAGCTGCCTCGTTCCGGAGTTTGCTGAAGTGAAGATAACAAATGCCACGATAGCCCTGCCAAATTATTTCGCTCGGCTTAACGCCACGCATCAACAGAGCGTTTTTTAGATCGCGGACTCTTACACCGGATGAGATATTAGAGAGCTTCAACGAGAAGTCAATATGCGTTTTCATTCGGGCGCGAAGATTTTTACGCCGCCGAGACGCGTTCTTGGTATTGTTTTCTGTCTTCGTCTATAAATGCATAAGCAAGATTTATTTATAAAGAAAAAAATACTAAAAAATATTTAAAAATACTAAAAACATAAACAGATAATAAATATTTTTTAATATTTTTAAAAATATTTTTCTCTATTAAATCCACGTAAATTTTTTATTTAATAGAGAAAGAGAAATTTAACTTACATTCACAAAATCTCTTATTAACCCTGTACTGCATAGTTTTTTTTTTAATGTAATTACTTGCGTGGATTAATTTTTGACACACTCCAAATATTACATATCAATTTCATTATTCTCTTTGATTTACAATTAAATAAAGATTGATAATATTGTTATATCCTTTAGATAAAGACAAATTAAAAAAATTTTGTTAATTGTAAAACAATTTGCATTGAATATAATAACGGGTATGAATAGCATTTATACATTTATCGAATTTATAAAGTGGGGAATGTCCTAGATATTTCGCGCAAATAATGAAGGATAATAAAAGTACGATAATATATTATAGAAGACTTACTTGTACTTCAGCATTGGGAAGATCATTTTCTTCTTCAGCTTTTGGTTTCTTATACGTTCGTCTTCGTGGGAAACGCGGCTTTTCACCTTTATTCTTGCCACCTTCCATCATGTTTTCGGTATTAGGCGCATCTCTTTTCGTGTTGAAACGCTTCTTATTTTTCGAATATTTAATGCGATTCTTGATATATTGGCGCGTTTCCACATCGGAATCGACTTCTTTCAAGACTACGATTTTCCCATTTCTGCGAAAGAATAATTGTGTATTTACACGAAATAGCCTACTTAACGTGATTCAGGCAACTTAATGCATACTTTTCATCCATCTCTTTGAGCTGCTGTAATACCTGCATGGTTTTGAGTTTTCTTTCGCTAAGCATATGCCACAGAATGCCAGACGGTTTCTTCAGTCTCGACTCTACGTATATAATTTGCGTCGGTGTGACAATTATATCTACTGGCACGTCATATTCTTTGAACAATTGTGGTGGTAGGTAATCTACAATTTGGCAATCATGTACTGTTGTGACAACAATTGTATTTTTTGTTATCGTGCCCATTCTCATCATCATCGCAAACTCAAGATCTGCGAACCCTTCTCCTTTGCCGAGTCTGTATCCGTCTCGACTGACGCATACAGAGCCCAGTACAACGAGATCTACCTGAATAAATATAATAGGTGTTTAGAATAAATTAATGTTCCATACCGTTAAAATAAATGCTATGCAGAAAAAGTCTAATGCCCATTTCCACCAATATAGATTAATTTTAATCTCAGTTTAACTTATTGTTTACCTTTTTCTAATTCTAAGAATCGTGTAAATTCGAAGAAGTTAATCTTACATTGATGGAACTCAGTCTTAGAATTAGAAAAAATGAAGAGTAAGTTGAATCGAGAATTAAAGCTAATCTATATTAATAGAAATAGGCATAAATAATTGTGTGTATTGTAAGAAAATGAAATAATTTGATATTGTATCTTTAGTAAGCATTATTCATTTTTGTATTAGGTGTACAACTTTGCTTCCGCCGTTTTCCTATAGATGGCTTTAGCGATAAGTGGTTGTCGAAATAAATAGATCATAGACGTCATACAATAAACTTGGGCATCTGTCAACATAACCTCATAGAAACAGTCGATTCGTGTCTGCATCATAAGTTATTCTCGATTGAAAATGTCAGTTTACGAGCCAAATTCTCGTCATTTGCGGGAGGTTTTAATTTTTTGCTTCAACATGAAGAAATCTGCGGCTGAGGCTCATCGAATGCTCTCAAATACTTATGGTGAGGCTGCTATTAGTGAAAGAACGTGTCGTGAGTGGTTTCAACGCTTCAAGAACGGTGATTTCGACGTCCAAGGTCATGCTCTGTATTTGGTGGGACCAGCTCGGCGTAGTGTATTATGAACTGTTAAAACCGACTGAAACAATCACAGGCGATCGGTATCGAACGCAATTGATGCGTTTGACCCGATTAAAAGACAAATGGCCGCAATACAACGAGAGACACGATAAAGTGATTTTGCAGCATGACAATGCTCGACCCCATGTTGCGAAAGTGATCAAAACATACTTGGAAACGTTGAAATGGGAAGTCCTACCTCACTCGCCGTATTCTCCAGACGATGCTCCCTCTGACTATCACTTGTTTCTATCAATGGCACACGGCCTGGCTGACCAGCACTTCCGGTCTTATGAAGAAGTAAAAAATTGGATCGATTCGTGGATAGCCTCAAAAAATGATCAGTTTTTTCGACGCGGGATTTGTACGCTACCCGAAAGATGGGAGAAAGTAGTAGCCAGCGATGGACAATACTTTGAATCATAAATGTATAACCAGTTTTTTACAATAAAGCCTCGAATTTCGGAAAAAAAACGGCGGAAGCAAAGTTGTACACCTAATACATATTATATCTTTTATCCATTAATATTAAATTATTATATATTCTTAAATTTTTTAAAAATATTTACCTTAATATGAGAATCCAGTCCCAGTGATTTACCCGCCTGTTCTAGACCGCGCATGGAAGCCAGTGTTTTCAGCTGTTCCTTCGTTGCGCCAGCAACTGGCGTAACGTGTAAGAACAAGCCAGTTCTCAATCTGGGAATAGGCACAATGATTTCCTTATTCATTTCCAGAGCTAAAAACCTCACTGGTTCCTGCGGCTTGTCTGGATTTATCTTTATAACTCTGGCCCTTTTAAATTCATCTAATTCGATCAATCGCTGTGCAGTCTCCGCGGCACCTTTGAAGTTCGGAATACGCTTGTATATGTTAACGGGAAAATTCACCAGCTCATTCTTCATCATGTAATCCCACACCTTACGACGAAAACTTGATTTCGTTACTTCCTCAGCTGTAAGAAATTGTTAATGTGAAAGAATCAGCTAACGAACAGCAACAATATAACATATGCTCGCATGCATCTCCTGTAAAACAATTTCAAAATGATGAAGAGCATATACACGCGCAAAGTATATCTACGTTTCTTGTATACAAACATACAATGTTCAATTATTTCTTTTTAACATTTAGAGAAACTAGAAACATCAAGGAAATGCCTGTTGCTCCGAAAGCACGGTAAAATCACTCACGTAAGTTCTCCGTCATCTTGACCGATTTACCAGTGGAATCTTAGAGGGCAGAGATTCAGGATCCGGAAGACACAAATCTCAGGAAGCGTCACCGCGACGTCTCTCCCGCAAAAATAGACCGCACGATTTATCTCGTCCACGCACAGCTCTTTCTCCTCCTCTTCGTGTCTATTTCTACCCGGCCCCATGTCCGCAAACTCTGCAGCATCGTAATCCTCTAGGGATTCGATTGTGTGTTGTCGACGTGAGATATCATTCGCGAGGCGAAAATTCCAGGAAAATGCAAAGAATATTGAAATTTCGATGCTCTATTCAGCACCGCTTCTAAGGACGACGTTGATGGAGAACCTGGGAAAACCCGCAGTAAGAGATAAGACGAATCAGCTGATCCTTTGGCAACGAACTAGGGAGTTAGAGGCTCCAACTTCCTAGTGCTATTTGACCTACTCTGAGAATCAGCTGATTCGTTTTATTGTCTCTTGTCAACGATTATTCACTGATGTCGTCCTCATGACATTCTTATATTGCCTTAACGATGTTCTCATGTTTTCCTCATATTGTTTTCCTGTCATCTTACAATGTCCTCTTATAACGATCCTTTCAATTTTTGGAAATCTGTTTCCGCAACATCATATCACTTTCTATATTTAAAAGAAGATAGATAGTTAGATAGTGATAAAAAAAAAGGAGGAAAGATGAAAAATACAAAAAATTGCCGTAAAAAGTAAACTTTAAATTCACCTTCTGCATTTAAAATAAGACTGCATGTTGAGTTGTTGAGGAGTTTGAGCAAATAATCAGAGTGTAGAAAAAGTGCAAGTCGCTAGCATTGTCCACGTGACTGTTTAACAGTGACGGATGCTGTCAGAAATTGAATTTTCCTTCTATACCATATATGGATTTTTGAGTATTGGACGAATTCAAAATGATAATCAGTCTAAATAAGCTAGACAATCAATTGAGTCTTTTTGAAGCCAAAACAATCGACTCTTTTATAAATTATAATTATACATATATAATCGAAGATGCCTTATACTTTTTCATTTTATTAATACTATAATTTTATAAATAATTTTTATTAATATCAGAGCACATATAGCACAATTGATTTATAATTTCTCTCTATTTTTTATTTCGTGAAAGTTTATCAATTCTGAAAGGCTCAATTATTTCCGACAATTAAATTTTTCTTTTATATTTATATCACATATCATGGCCTAATTTTATTTTTATTGAATTTGTGAAAATGTTATTTTAATCAGCATTTTAAAATTCTTTTTCCATGATAGAGATCATATAAAGATTTTCTCGAAGGTTTCTACATAGCGTTTACTCCTCATTCAAATTAATGTAGAAACCCTCAACGAGATTACACCCCTGTGAGCGCGAGCGAGACGAGCAGTGCCGATGAGCAGTCGTGAAAGATGGCTTTGCTCGCGAGAAACATTTGTAAGGCGCTCTCTCAGGTAATCATCGACGCATTCCTTCATTGCTGCATGTGTTCAGAATTTCATGTATCTGTGAAATGTGGAAGAAACATATAAGTTCTATATAACATGACAATTAAGACAAAAAATTCAACTGCTCCGTCAGCGTGGTAGAGTAGATGATTACAAGAGCATCGCATATTTAGGTGTCTATTGCGATATTTTTATCCGAGACGCATTCGCGTGTCGAAAATGCAAATTTATTCCTCGATGCACCCGCGCAAACGTATTTCTCGAATCTGCTCAGCTACGCGAATCATTACACATCGATTGAGGCAAGCACCTGCACTTGCTTATCACATTATTTAATCAAGGTAATCTTAGTTATTCATCGAGAAAAGCAATAAATTGTTACGCAAGAATTAAAAGCCTATTATTCATGAAGTGCAACGAATAGAATAAGATTACAATGTTGATTAAATTCAGTTAATTAAAAAAAGGATTAATCCTATCTGAAGATTCTAAGCTTGGAGCATTTCATTCCTGGAAAAAAGAATTATATTTGAGATAAAAATGTAATAAATGCTACTTTGAATTCTTTGTATAAGTAATTACATTCTTATTGTAATAACATGTTTAAATTTTGGCACATTGTATTTAAAGTATGTTAGATATTTGTATATTATATTTAGATTACCGTATATGCACAGTGAATTATGAATTTTATTATATTTAATAAAATGTAATTCTTATGCTTTGTGTTTGTAGGCTACTCAAAAGAACACAGTTAGAGCCCTGCATGTAGGGACAATACGACAGCAAGAATCGGTAAAATATTATTGTTCTCCAGTTAATAATTAGATACATATGTGACATGTATACTTTTCCAGTCAGTTGAACAAGAAGGAAAGTTGAAATGTACCTTGATACCGGGAGATGGTGTTGGACCAGAATTAGTGGTCGCAGTTCAAAGTGTTTTCAAAGCTGCGGATGTCCCGGTTGAGTTCGAACCTTACTTCTTATCTGAAGTAAATCCAACCCTGAGTGCTCCTCTGGATCAAGTCTCCAATAGTATCGCTAGAAATCGAGTTTGTTTAAAGGTCTGATTTTCTAAACACAATAAATCTAAATAATATAATTAAATTAAATAAACAAAACAAATGATATGACTTACTTAATACTTTCATTTCGTGTACATACAAATAGCTAATAAGATAAAGCACATAATTTCAAATATAAAAATTTTTCTATTTGAGAAAGCAAATTTTTTTTAAGAGTATGTGGCTGTAAGATAACAATAATTTTGCAACTCGATGTAACTGAATATTGTTTCACATGACAGGGAATCCTAGCAACTCCGGATCACTCTATGACGGGAGAGTTACAGACCTTGAACATGAAATTACGTAAGAGCTTGGACTTATATTCAAACGTGGTGCACGTGAAATCTTTGCCAGGAATCAGGTCACGTCATCAAAATGTGGACTGCGTTATTATCAGAGAGCAAACAGAGGGAGAGTATTCTGCGTTGGAGCATGAATCTGTCAAAGGAGTGGTCGAATGCTTAAAGATCGTGACTGCCACTAAAAGCCAAAGAATCGCGAAGTTCGCTTTTGACTATGCTGTAAAGAATAATCGCAAGAAAGTCACATGTGTTCACAAAGCTAACATAATGAAGCTCGGCGATGGACTTTTCCTCAAATCGTGCCAAGAAATTGCCAAGCTGTACCCTAGGTATTCCAGTAACTTTCTTGTCCATATGATTAAGAATTTGTTAATTGTTGCTTAGAAATATTTATTATGAAATTATTGCAAAATGTATTTAATATTATATATAATATTATAT